AACATAAGTACCTGTCTCTATGCTATAATTTCCACTTTAACAAATACCTAAATATTCTTATTTTGGTGTTATATTATCAAAATGGATGTTAAGAATTATATTTAAATAAATGTCTAGTGTTTAAACTTCAAAATAAAACATATTAGCACTCAAACTAGAGGGAAACCTAAATCAAGGGTGGAAGCCTAATAATTCAACAGGCTAAAATTGTACGCCTCCTAATATAAATATTTATTTTAGCACAGAGATCATAAGGTTGGTMATTTTTTTTTAAAGTAAGACATGATTACCAAAATACACCAACTGTAAGGAGGGAAATAAAAGAGGAGGAGAGAAAAATTGCCGAAAGAAACCTAGGGATGGAAGATGCCTGGCAATGAAAGTCATTTTCAAAGACCATTAACTATCAACTGCTTTACTCAGGGCTCTTATTAAACAAGAATATTCATTCTATGTTAAAGGAGATGTCTATTTGAGTGGGATATGGTTTAGAATGAAAATGTATTGTATGAACTGTAAAGAATCAAACCACCATCACAATTAAGCATCTGACTTACAAGAAATACCGTATATGTGCCTTTTAAATTGTTAGTACTTAAAGTCAAATTATTTCTGGAGGGGCAGGAAGTCAGAAAAAACAACAACATCATTTTCATTTTAAAATATAAAACCCACAAACTGAGACTGTACTTTTGTCTTTATGAATTGAAAGAACTAAAAGACTATTGGGAGAAAAATTCATACTGAGCATGCTTTTAATGAATTCCAGCAATGTTGTTATATATTTCTTATAATATATTTTATTTATCATTTCTTTGAAAAATGCTAGATTTTATACTAGCAAGAAAGTTTACTTTGCTGTCATATCTCTGGTGAGCAGATGCTCTGGTATTAATATAAATCGCTGATTTAATTTTTAGCTTTCTTGGTTTGCCCCTCACCTATCTAGGAAATGATTTCTCTRGTGATAACTAACACATCATGCTAATGAGAGAATCTAATGCACAATAGAAAAATGTCACTACTAATAATATTTGCATGAAGTTAAATAAAGCAACTGTAAGAGAATGTCAGACAGTTGTTCTTTAATAAGACACAGTTTCACAATGAAATTATGTTGTTAATTTTGTTACATCATTGGGTGAATCCTAAATTACTACATAATGATGCACAGAGTCATTTATAATTCTTAGTATTTCACTTGAGTCTGAAAGGAGACCTTATTAAGGGATCTACATTTTATTTGAAACAGGTTAAATATACTTCACCAATATTAAAAGATAAATGCCTCTAGTAATTTGTGAAATGTGGAYTATAAGACTATAGTCATTTACCTGTATGGTTTTGTTTCTCTAAAAAGACTTAAGAATTTAGATTATTCCATCTCTTGAGTTCATTAAAAGAATTTTATTTGCTATTTCTGTAAACTATAAAAAATACATAACAAATTGGAAAATCATCTTTTAAAGCCTAATATATATACATATATTATATACACATATATATTCATGTTCTTGAACTTTCCAAAAGTAGGCCTTAATTGTTGCTTTTAACAGTATCTCTTGAGCATATACTGGGCAAAATAAGGTTCTGGGCTATAGGAAATGAGCAGAGAAGAGTGAAAGGTTTCTGGTCATTCTTGACCTGTCACTCACTGATCAAATTGACCCAAGAACTCCTTTACAAAAGTCAATAGTTATGCCCTTCAAGGTTCTCAAATATTCATCTGAATATAAAGAAATTTTTTAAAAAAGAAAATTAAGCTTCAATGTTGGAAGGAGGAAAATGTAGAAAGGAAAATGGAGTCAAACAGTCACATCTCAAACTTTAGGGAACATAATTAATCCCACCAAATCTAAACTGATTTTGGATTGTGATGTCTTTTTCTTAGCATTAGACAGAATGGAAGATTTATATTTAAGGAAATCCAACTTTGCACGTATTAAATAAAGGATAAAGATTTTTACATCCCTGCTTCCCAATTTATCATAAGACACATTTCCCACAAATTTTTCTCTACTTAAATACTAAAAGTTTTTAAACATTTTATAATAGCCCTACCCATCAGTCTTTTCTAATGTTTAAAGAAATAATAAGAGAGATATTAGTTTTTATACTATAAAATTTGGAAATAAAAATGTGCCAAATAAATTTTATTCATTTTATGAGCTGAATAAATTTTTACTTAGAAATTAAAATCATCTAGAAAAACCCTATTATGCCTTAGAAATKAGATATACAAAATCTTGCATACTTGATTTAATTGAACAAACTTTTTCCTGTAACAAAAATTGGCTTAATACGGATATTGAACTAATATTTCTCAAAATTGTTGACTTCAATAGTGTCTCTTACACACACACACACASAGACATACACACACACACTCATGCTGAATCAGCACTGCTGATGAACTATAGGTAAGGAAAACAAACATTAAATATGTACACCACACAGACTTAGATATATACATAGTTTGAATTTAAGTTTACACAATATTTATACAAACTGAAATGTCATCTTGAAGGAGAAAAACATACACATACACATGTTAYTCATACCCTCTTTTACGTGCTTTCCAAAAATGCACAGAAGGTAAATATTTAGTAACCATGACAGGAAAAAAAGGGAGAGGGGGAATCGCTAACTACATTGAAATTTAACAAAAATAATAAAGAAAACATATTAAAAATAGTTAAGTAATAATACATTTTTAAATTGTGATTTTTCAACCTTCATAAATAGTATAATTAATATTAGTTTTAAATGGCATCATTAAGCATAAATTACTTCCCTATAATCTGATTATTTCCATATAGTCACCAATGCTCACTATTACACATACTTCATACAGGTACACACAAAACAGATTTTTGTATGCCCACACAGAAACAGCTGGGTCAACGACATCATGACAGCGTAGTTGTACAAGTTTCTCTAAAAGATATATTTTCCTACTTTTGACCCATCATTTGTATAATTTACTTTTGTTTATTTTTTAGTAAAATGTTTTGCATGACTTAAAGTCTCCTTAGATTCAAATCTACTTGGAAATGGGTTAGTGCCAAAGAAGCAATCTAACACCATCTATGTGGTTCGATAGCCATTTATCAATTGATCATTATCTCTATCTGGTTTTATTAACTCTTTTCTAGCTAGAGGGAAACCAAAACCAATCTTCCCCTCCAAAACATACATACATACACACACACACACACACACACACACACACACACACATGCACACACACACAGAACCTCCACTAACTTAAGGAAAACCCTGAAGGTGACATCTAATTTTAAAAGTGTGGCACAAGTTATTTGGTTCTAAGGTTAGTGAAAACACAGTGTGTTCCAACCACAAGAGAGCCACCCAGGCAGGAATGTGCGGCAGAAAAACACCTCTCTCAAAGCATGCTGCACTGACAAGGAGCATCTCTGTAAGGAAATGAACTTTTCACTTGCAAGAATGGGAAATGGCACATAAAGAGTTGCTTATTGGGTTTATGTTGAKTGTATTTAAATCCCAGCTTACTGTATCAGCAGTAATCAGGGTCCCTCTACAGGATGTCAAAATACACCTTATTCACATCCATTTATCCTATCTAGAACTCTGAGATAAAAATGTTTGCCATCTGAAATCCTGCAAGACTTGGCTATATGTTCTATCTTTGGCAAATGCATTTTAAACTCGTGGCAGTTTACAGTGTGACAAATTATTTTCTTTCTTTCTTCAATCAACAATTTCAAAAAAAATCTAACTCAAAACTATTTAATTTCTGTGAACTCTTACATACAAAAGAGGTCATTTAAAAAGCAGTTACAAAATGGGTGAACCATCAATTTCTTAAGCGTCGCCATCTACTTAAAATCCCAGTGTATGTGTCAGGACTACTTTCGTGCGGTGTGGATGATAAACTAACTCTTGCTTTGTGTGGGTTTGGTGTAGGCTTTTGAAAAAGCAAGACGTGTCTAAGGAGGGAGGCACCAGGGAACTTCCCTCCCTCACTTGAGCACAGTCCAAGATGAAAGTTTCTGGGTTGTTTCCCCTTCGCTTCCTCTTACCCTCGCTCCCCCGCGGAGCCGCAGAGCCAGCAATTGTGCAAGAGGAGCCGGGCGCGCAGGGCGCGTATCACGGAGCGCATGGTACGAGCTGCCGGCCGGTGATTAATTATCAGTTCCCGCTGGCCTCGCGCTCACACAGCGGCTCTCCGGGCAGAGAGCACGCCGAGCTGCCTCCGGTGCGGCCCGGACGGAGGAGCGGCTCTGGGGAGGACGCCGAGGCTGCGCCCGAGTGTGAGTGCGCCGGCGGGCGGGCAGGCGAGGCGAGCGGCGGGCGGGCGGGCGTGCGGAGCAGGAGCCGCGCGGGAGCCCGAGCCGGGTGGCGCTGGGAGCGCGGGGCAAGCGCTGGGCAGGCGACCGGCACTRGAGCACCAGCCGGCGCAGCCCACCATGCGCCATCCTCAGCGACCCTCGGCTCTGACCCTCGGCGCGGCAGCGAAGCCCGCACCGCCTCCTCTCTCCCCGCAGGTCTGAATCCAGCCCCAAGAAGTCAGTCGGGCAGTRTGAGGGGCCCCTAGATTTTATGACTGTTTGGTTGCAGAAACGACTCCGAGATAGCAGGCACTTTGACCGAGTGATTCGTAGAGATAGAAAGACACATTTGTTGGGTGGTGGCTTTTTCTCTTTTCTTTTTTTTTAACAGAAAACAAAGAAATAAATTAAGTCTTCGCATGACCCAGGCTGTACTGTGAAACTTTGCAACAAATGCCTTGGCTTTCTTTTACTTCAGTATCCTTTCCCCTTTTTCTTTTAAGGAGCCCTTTGGGAAACCATGAAGTAACGCTGCACATTCCAATAACAGTTATGACAAAACAAAGCCTAACTATGAAGTGATCACATTTTTTAAAAAACATGGAAGAAAAATACCAGTAACAAAAGTGCACAAGACAATTCGAGGTTTCTTAAAAAAATATATATATATATATGAAAGTAACTTACCTGTTGGGACATTCTGAATAAGAGGTTAGTATCAGCGTTTTGCCATGTCCCCATGAACCCTGGTTCAGCCGGAGTCGTTCTGGTTCCGAACTGCATGGAGTTGTCAGTACAGGAGTCTCTTAAAGTCAAGTCTCTTGCCCTCTTTGGCTCTCTGTCTCTCTGTGTCTCTCTTTCTCTCACATCCACTTCTGCCTCTTCTGACTGAAAAGTGAAGGTGGATTTTTTGAGCCTCTTGGCAGCCAGTAGCAGGAGTGTAGTGTAGTTAAGAAGCTGCCTGAACTGTGCATTTCATTTGGGAAGGGGAAGATTTGGGGGAGGGAGGGGGTCAGAGCTTCCTTCGCACCTTCTGCACAGATATCCCTATCATTTATGCATAGATTGCGACTCCCCAAGCTTGCCTTTGCTCAGCTTAACAGCTGCCTGTCAGGTGTGCAGGCAGCACTGGAGACCCAACCATCAGCTTCAAACCCTCAGCCACTGCATGTCATTGGATAGCAGAGCTAAGAGTCAACTGCACTGTTCCACTGTCAGGCACCAAATGACACCCTGCACTAACCCCTCCAGACACACAGATACATACACACTGAGGCACACTCCAAGCAGTGCCAGGATCCCTGTGCGCAGGGTGAGGGGAAGCTGGGGCCCTTCCCCTCCAATTTTCCCCAACAATGCTTTTTGACATAACATGCAATATACAACACCAGTCCTTGCTTTAACATTTCTAAAACTGTGATATGTAAGTATGTTTTTTTTTTTTAATTATACTGGAAGAAAGTAAAATATTCTGCTAGAAGAGAATGTAAAGTTGGCTCAGTTGTTGTCTAAATGCTATCTGCTCAGATAGTATGTGCTGGGCTATTTATAACCACATAAAAACTCTTAGAGAAAATAACATACATACAGACTTGACCTTACACTCTAAAGAGTAAACAAGTAAACCTAGCAGTTTAACATGAAATGGACAATAAATATTTGCAAAATAAATATATACTACTTGCTATTTTGTACCTCAGGCCATCAATTACTAAACTGAAGATGAAGTAATGAGAAACTGAATGGCAAAGGAAAAAAGTGTACCTTAAAGCTCAAAAGTAGAACAAAATCCTTTATTAAACTTCCTGAATGAAGCATCTACAACATCCTTTCAAATCATAAAAAAGAAAGAGAGGGAAGAAAAGAAGCCTGTAAAAAATAATAAATATAAAAACTATTTTTCATTCAAAATTTCTATGGAAAATTCTAAATTTTTTCTGCCTTATGAAATATAGCCTTGATAGCAAGTTGTATTTTTAATTAAACCAGTTTTAAAACAAAACATCTATTTATTAGGTAATATTTATCGGCCTTATTTATGGAAAAGCAAAACTGAGCAAAATGCACTGTACATAAACATTGTTAACTTCAAAATGGAAAGCTAAATTCATGCCATCTCATAAAAGTAGTCAGCAGGAAAAAGCCATCCCTCCTAAACTTAAAATGTAAGGAACATTAATCTTCAACCACCTACAAATATTGAGGACAAATGTACCACTCTCCTTGCTCCTTCTTAACTAAAGAATAACAATAAACCTTACTCTTGGAAACAACAAAAGAAACAGAAAAGAGCTTCAATGGCAGCTCTGTGTCATTAGTGGACAATGAGAAAAGATGAGAAAACGTACACTATGTTGACACAAATGTGCCTTCTCCTCTAGAACCGACATCTCCTGAAAGCTTTTCTGTTAAACTTCCCTCCAGTTCACCACCATTAAGCACAAAAAAGTCTCAAAAGAAGCAAATTCAATATCTGAGAGGAAACAAACAAGAACCCAAAGAATTGTTGCCTTAAAATATATTAAGTCCACCTGTGGTCAATAAAAATATTCTTCAGGGGGGAGACGGGAAAAGCCCCTATGAGTCAATTGTCAACGGTGACTGTACCTTTACTGCTAGCTATTACCCACTTAAACTCCCTCTAAAATTTGCTAGCCTCTTGATTCCTGAAGTGGCACTCAGTGCCTCAGTCAAGCTGCCTGCTCAGCTCCTGACCTTCCCACTAATGGCTGTTATTTGTGGGAGGCTTAAGGACACTGTCAATAGCAAGCTTCCTCCTCGCTCCACTCATGCTCTGTTGTATCGCTTTGCCTGCGTGTTCTCTCGCCTCTCGCTCTCACTCTCCCTCTCTCCTTGCCTCTCCCCCTCCTTCCTCTTCTCCTTCACTCCCTCTTCCTCTTTTGCCAGCCCCCACCCCTTTTTTCTTTCAGTCCTGCAATCCTCTTCTTTCCAGGTATCCTACACACACACACACACACACACACACACATACACACACTAACAACACAAAAATCAACTGGCATGCAGCAGCAAGCACCTGCAGTAATAGACTCTTTTATTAAAACTGTTATTCTGCAAGACTTGAAATTCCCCGTGGACCGGGCCATGTCAAAGCCGATATAATTAACTAGAGGCTCAGCAACGGATCAATTACCAGACAAGCAAGTGATAGTGAAATCAATGAAAGATCATCAGCCACATTATCAGTGTTGCAACTCATTAGGGCAAAACTGAGAAATGTGCTCAAAGCGAGCCCAAGCAAGGTGGCATTACAAAACAAAGGGCTAATTTGGAGACCCTGCTGTGAACAATCTGTAACAGAATTAGCCTTTTTTCCCCCTAAACTGCACAGCTCCGTAACTAAATGTGACAGACTGAGAGAAGCAGTTTATTAAGACACCAACCCCAAGTTTATTTAGTTCATAAACTCTCTCCTAGAAAATCAATACAGTCTGTACAGGGTTATTAGGCTGACTAGCTAATACATCCAAATCTGGTATGCCCAGCCAGCAGTCTTCTGACAAAATGCTACCACAGTAGGCAAACTGAGCTCTTCAGATAGCAGGCAGGGTCTAAGGCTGCTCTAGCTGGACAGGTCTGCAATGTAACTATTACCTAGATTTTACTGCCAGAGCCACGCCTTTAAGACACCAGGATATCTTCCTAAGGTTTAAAAAATATGTTCACAGCAAATATATGAGACTTCATCTGCTAAACTGATTTGGTCAAACAAAATCTTCACTAGTTGATAAGACTAGTTCAGAGGACAAGTTTTAATAAGAGACAACCCAAAGATTTACCCATAAATGAATATGTAAGATAAAACATGTTGTGCTTTTGTAGATTTTAAGTTTATAAATCTTCTTTTAAGTAAGTTTTGGAAAATACAAATTTGACCCCTCTAGAAATGCCCAAAATACATTATATGAACTTTCCACTCACTTCCATATAGAATATGAAGTATAGAATCCTTGATCTTAGTATAATTTTCTCTAGCAAGGGAGAGAGACTTGAACTCTCACCCCACCCAACCCCACCCCCCAAAAAAACCTACAAAGCACAAAGATGTCTTGAGTCTTTTCATTGGTTACTTATTCTGGAAATTAGGGAGTAACTATCTGGAATCATTTGTATAACAAAGTTATTTAAAACTAGGGGAATGAAGTGGATGTCACTTCCACAATGATTGCTGTCTGCTGCCCTGAGTCCATCCAGGTATTTCAGGTTAAAAGACCACAAGTACCATAGGCCATGTGTTAGCTTTCTCAGATTTCCTGATAGTTAGAGATGGACCATGTGAAATAAGTAGTACATCAAGTAGGTCTAATGACACCAAAATTATTAAAGATATTGTGAGAATGTGACCATCTCCCCTCATCACAATCTGTAGCACAAATACACAAAGTAAGAAATTCAATACCTTCCACAATGGTAAAGTAGGTTCAACTTTTGAAAGTGATTTCTGATGCTTATAATATTTTAACATTTAAAATGTTCCAAGAAAAGGACTGCACTTTTAACATGCCGTCAGTAGAGTATATTGGCTCTAAGACACTAAATTCTAAACTTGAAAAAAAAAAAAAACATTTTCAGAGGAGTTTAATAAAATCCAATTTACAGATTGCTGCAATTAAACATTTTTTTTTCTGTAACTTTTGAACGGGCACCTTATCAAGCATTTTGTAAGTCATGTTTGTTTTTTAGTAATCTGTTAAAAAGTCAAGACATATATATTCTAAACCGTACTATAGATTCTAATAGTAATTAAAAGTTGTAATTACGGGAAATTTTTATTTTTTAAAACCTTTTTGCATGTAACTAACTACACACTGTGCATGTACCTTCAATGAGATCCAATTAGTTCCAAAGAATTTGCATTTCAGTTAGTGTGGGATAACAAGACTATAGGGAGGCAGGATGCAATCCCACCAGCAGAGTAAGAAAGTGTGTTCTTTCTTGTTAGCTCTGTAAGCAGTAATTCCCACAACTGACTGTTTAAAATGTTACTGATCTTTTCAATATTTGGGTACTGAGGTGGGTTTTAGACCTTTTCTTCCATCTTCTAAAAATGAATAAATAAAACAAATATATAAATAAATAAATCACATGTTGATGCAAAAACCAGCCACCATATGAAAAGAAGCAAGTGAAAAGATCTTGCTTTGCATAAATATTTGTGGGGTGCATTTTGTTCTGTTTTGGTTTTAAGGGGAGGAACCGTGCATACTTTCTATTTTGTTCCTTAAAAGTCCCTTGCTTTCTTAAATTAAGTTCTATAACTGGGAGCAGAAAAACTTCACTGAGACTGTTCTTTGTAAATACATATGGTTTTGTGATAAAGGCACACATGCACTACACTGAGAAAGTACTCAAGGAATTTTTTTTCTAGCTATGTTTCCAACAATGTAAATCCGGAGCAAATATAAAATAAATGTATAGTTTGTGTACACAATTTAAGAAGCATCTCCAGGACTTCTGCTGGTTAAGGACAATACCTGTAATTCCCTGGGTTCAGTTCAGCAGCTGTTAACAGATTSTGTAATCTGTAATGACAGTAAACTGGCCTTTGCTCTTCCTTTTATTCACTATTCATTTTCAAGGCTTGGTTAAGTACAGAGCTGGGTTAAAGATCAGTGGTTTTTCATGTGACACACGCTGGTATTCATCTAATGGCTTGTCAAGACAAAACTGTCCCTGTTCTTGCCAAAATAATAAAAATGACGCTCCACATCACATGACAATCAGCACTTCCTTATGGCAAACAACTCAAGCTTTTGTAATTCACTTATTTTATAGGAAAAAATGTGAACTTCCCTTCTGTATGTGGAATTAGGTTGCCATTCTGAAAGGAAATTTTAATTATGTTTTCCCCTCTCTCAACTCTAGAGCAATATGTAAACTAGTTTCTAATCAAACTAGATTTTGCCATATAAAAATAATGCTGAAGCTCAAATTTGTAATGCATTAAGGTATATAACTTAATATATGCAAATTATGCAGAAGCAGCAGGCKGGACTCAGTCACAGAGGTGGGGCAACCAATTGAGGAAATGTCATTTTTCTTGAGAACAAAGTATGGGACTTGCTTTGCAACATCTGTTGGGCTGTGTGAAATGTTAACAGATGTCTTAAGTGGAAAAAAAAAAGAGAAAGAATTAATAAAGGAAACCTCCTCTGAACAGATAATCCACCCAAATTTCCATATTCCTGAGGAAAAAAGTTGACAGCAGCCTTTTTCCCTTGTGAAACCTGCCATCCCTGTTTTATTGTATTAAGTTTCATTTTCTATGTGAAGTTAAAGGGAAAATTTTTTTGACTCACTATAAAGAGAGAAAAAGTAAAACTAACAATAATTCAAATTCAGGTGTTCCCTTTGTGAATAATTAGATCATAATCTAAGTTGCTTTTTTCCCCTTGACTTACAGATGTAATTTGATGAGAGGAGAGTAAAACATTGATCCTTCTTTAAAACACACATATATACGCAGAGATGAACTATTATCCCACTATTCTGGAAGTTTTATGAAAAGTGAAGAAAGTGAGATTTAAAAGTAGCTCTTATAAGTTCTGATATGAACCATCCTTTTTACTCATGAAGGTACTCAGCTGCAAAATTAACTCACCTAACATTTACACCTAAATCTTGGCTTTCCAACTGGCTCCTAATTTTTTTCCATTACCATCCTTGTAAGGGATGAAACACTGTCTTTAATAGCCAAGTGTTCCTGAGTAGTAACATCTGATGGTTGTGAAAACTTTTGGAGTACTAGCTGGATTTAAACTTTAAGGAACCTGGAAAAATTAACTTGCTTATTTAACAATTCTCCTTAGTGTTTCAATTTATTATATGACCTAGCCAAATCTGAATGTAGCAGCCCTTAATTCAGATTTAAAACATGACACACGCATGCCAATTACTGAACCTAATTTAGTGTCTACGTAGGAATAAATTCAACTTTGCACCTATATTCTTTTATAAGTCTTCCTCTTTAGAGATATCAAATCTATTGCTTATTCTTATAAAAACTTAGGACATGTATTTGGGTTAATAGCTTATGGATTAACTAATTCAAAATGCACTTAAGGATGTCTGAGAATTCAAATGAGGGAAGAAAACATAATGCTGTCATCTTCAACAGTCTCAATCACTGTCCCTTATCCCCTGTGAAAGTATGTGTTAGAATTGTACATGTTACTTCCTATTTACAACAACACGTTTGCCAGGTTGCTCTCGCGGCCTGGGCTGGGCATTTCAACATATAAAGCCTCAGCCAGAACAGCCTGAAGATTTCAGGGGACAAGATCATGGTTCAAGTTATAAATAAGATGTACAGACATGCCTTCAGTTTTTGGTTAGTTTTCTGCCAAAGTATTGTGGATCTCAAATCCTCTGGTGTTTACTCACAGGAACACCACATCAGAGCACAGAACAAAAATAACTGCTCTGCCAAAAAAAAAAAAAAAAAAAAAGTCACCTACACTGAGGTTTAGAAAAGTTAAGCACTAATAACATCATTATGTGACCAAGAGAGGAACAAAGGCCTCCTAACGTAAGGCTTGAATAAGACACAGGTTTAAATCACTTTAAAAAGTAGCATGCACATCCCCCATGAGGGAATAGTACCTAAAAGCTTTACCCTTCTACAGCTAAAGGGAGAAACCGCTCGGGTTGACACTTGTCTCTGTACCAATTGGAACAATCAATGTGATGCAGCATCTGCTGACAGCCACATCAGGGGCTTGGTTTCACAGAAATACAGAAAGGAAATATCCAAATGCCATAATCCTTTGATAATGAAAAGATCTGGGAAGGGTGTGGTAGATAAGGTAGTTGACAAAATGTTAGGATCCTTAGAATCCGGGTTCAGGTACAAAAGCATCTAAGGTCAGCCTGAATCTCCAGTCTACAAAAGATCAAACATTTTTACCTTACCTGTTTTGRTTTAAAAACAGAAGAGTGACTTTAATCTTTTCTCACATGAAAGCAGTGACAGTGACTTCTTTCTATCATAACTTATAGTCAACAGTTCATAATAAAATCTTCTACACAAAAAGAATCAGTGATGTTTTTCCTCAAATGAAGATGAAAAAATAGGCTAGGGCAGGGGAGATGCAGATGCATGGTCATTCTTTCATATGACCATGGACATTGCACGACTATAAAAATAATATTAATTTTTTAATTTACTTCCTTATAAAAAGACTGTGGAGTGAGAAATTTGAGTCCTAGTTTAAAAAAAATTCATAGAAATAAATTACTGTCAAAAAGGAAGATTGAGATTCACAGACAACTAAGAAAATGATGTTGTAGGGCAGGGCTCAATACCTTATGAAATTATTTGAAAAATAACATTGCCTTTAGAATTACTACCGACCAAATCAATACTATAGATAATACTCCTTTATGTGCAATTCACAAACCTAAAAAATAGTGACATCCTAAGTTTCATCATAAAACCAAAGATTATTTTATATACATATATATTTAAATGAAAAGTGTTGAAACAAAGCACATTTGAATGATCTTGGATATTGTTTTCAAAATTAAGAAAGCCAGAAGATGTCAGAAACCTACTAACAGCAAGTTAAAAATAGGAAGAATTAACAAGTAACTTTTTTTTTCTTTTTTTTTTTGGTACCTGGGATTGAACCCACGGTACCTTATTACTGAGTTACATTCCCAGCCTTTTTATTTGGGGCAGGGTCTCACTAAGTTGCTGAGGCTGGTCTTGAACTTGCAAATCTCCTGCCTCAGCTTCCCAGGTTGCTGGGATTACAGGTGTGTGGCACCACACCCAGTTTAACAGGTGACTAAAAGGTCTGAGTAATGATTAGCTACTCAGATCTCAGGTAGGTAATTACCTACCAATGGCTGGGGAAGGGTATAAGGAGAGCTTTTGAGGTAACACTGCTTATCTCCGTCTAGTTAGTGGTTCTGGGTACATTAACCTTGTAAAAATTCATCAGTCTGGGGCTGGGGATGTAGCTCAGTGGTAGAGTGCTTGCCTCGCATGCGTGAGGCCTGGGTTTGGTCCCCAGCACCACGTAAAAATAAATTAAAAAAAGAATAATAAAGATATTGTGTCCATCTACAACTAAAAAAATACTTTTTTAAAAAATCATCAGTCTGTATACTTTCAATTGGTACACTTTTCTGCATGTAACATTATTTCAGTTCTAAAAGTTTACTACTACTTTCAGTGGTACTACTACTAGAAATAGTGATAACAGTAAACTATCCCTAGAACTACATGGGAGGAAAAAAAGGAAAGATAATGGAAAATATAAATAAGGAAGGGTGGAGAAGTGAAGAGASAGATGAAGGCAGGTACTTTATCACAATCAAAATAATTCAAATAACGGCCACTAAATCTACTGCTTGCAACAATTTCTTCGGAGGCAAAAAGCGTTAGGAAACAAGCAAATATCTGAGTTTCACAGCATGAGGATGAGTGTGAAAGACAGCAGAAGAGTGGGAGARAGAATGATTAGGTGAGAGAAACCTTAGCTAGGCCATGAAAGCATGTGAGCACATCCAAGTGACTTAAATGGAAAAGAGCAACGTACCTCAAGTTGAGATGCATCAACCCCACAACATGGGACCTTGAAATGTGCTTGCCAGTCTTGTTCACTAAGCCTGCCCTCTGACTTGTAATTAAGACGATTTGGAGGTGGGGTGGGCACAAAGCGTGCCTGTTGAGAGATTGGAAAAGGAAATTACATGTAAGTAATACAAGCACTGAGTACAACAAGACAGACTTTATTTTTAAAAACAGCAATTACAATATACCCCTCTGATCACCCAAACACCTTTTTTAAAGAGTTAATAGTTTCTAAGGCATACAACAGTCAACAGTTGTATAAATAAACCCTGGAAAGAATAAAAGTAACAAAGCAGGAATAACTGAATAATTTGCTGACTGGTGATGAATATACTTTGGTCTTAACTAGCTCAATCTCTTTATCTCTTGCCCCCTATCTCTGATCCCAGCCCCTAGCTGTGCTGGGGATGGAAACCCAGGACCTAATGCATGGTAGGCAAGTGCCCTACCACTAAGCTTTACCCCCAGCCCACTAAATTTCTTCTTTTTTTGGGGGGGGGTCAGTGCTGGGGATTGCATCTAGGACCTCACACATGCCAAGAACAGGTTCTGCCACTGAGCTATACCCCAACCCCTAGCTCAATTTCTTACTTCCTTTTCTCATACTTGTTATTGAAACAGTCATCTAAATATTTTAGCCACCGTTAGGGATGTTTTATCAAGGCCTTACTTGCCAAGAATAAAAAGCTGTGAGAAACACAAAAATTAAGACATAGGCTCTGYTCACAAGAAGTTTACAATTTAGGCCGGGTACAGTGGTACATTCCTATAATCCCAGCAGCTCCAGAGTCTGAGGAAGGAGATCACAAGTTCAAAGCCAGCCCAGCAAAAGCGAGGTGCTAAGCAACTCAGTGAGACCCTGTCTCTAAATAAAATACAAAATAGGGTAGGGGATATGGCTTAGTGGTAGAGTGACCCTGAGTTCAATTCCCAGTACCCAAAATAAAACAAAAAAGAAGTTTCAGTTTAGTACAGAAACCATGCACAAAAATCACCATATATTAAAACCAGAATATGGTAAGACAAACCATAGTGGGATTCTATTTGAGAAGAAGATTCCTTCAATCCAGTATGGTAAAAGAAAGTTTCTAAGAACAGACATGGCCTTTGCTCTGAGAAATGAAGAACTTGTAATATTTCTACGTAAGTGATCCAATTTGACTAGAACATAAGGTAGGGAGTGTGTAGAGCAAAAATGAATCAAAGATGGAGGGCCAATAGACGTTACTATAATAGTAAAAGTCCACTATGAAGAATAGCTGTTTTCCCAGTGACTGGGGAAGCTAAGGCAGGAAGATCACATGTCAGAGACCAGCCTCAGAAACTTAGCAAGGCCCTAAGCAACTTAGCAAGCTCCTGCCTCACAATAAAAATAAATAGAGCTGGGGTTGTAGCTCAGTGGTCAAGCACTTGCCTAGCATATGTGAGGCACTGGTTCGATCCTCAGCACCACATAAAAATAAATAAATAAAGGTACTGTGTTCATCTACAATTAAAACTAAAAATAAATAAATAAATAGGGCTGGGGATGTGGCTCAGCGGATAAGTGTCCCTGGGTTCAATTCCAGGTAACAAAAATGAATAAATAAATAAAATTTAAAAAGTTTGCCATTTATCCCATTATCCATGGACCATCAAAACTGGAAGATTCTAGAAGTTCATCTGGCAATAGTACATTGGCCAAAGCTAAAATGTGAAAAGAAAGATATGAAGAGATGAACTAGGAAGCTATTATAATAAACTGGGCAAATGACTACAGGAAATAGGGCTGGGGGGAGAGATCAAGATAAAAGAAACTGTGAAGACAAAACCAAAGGGACAAGAATGACTGACAGGTTGGGGATAACGAATGAGAAGAGTCAATGAAGACACGAGTGCTCTGATAGTATGAGCAAAGGAAAATTGAAGCACTGTCAATAGAAATGAGGATAAACTAGCTTGTGGTAATATATACCAAGCTCAATTTGGGGTACCAGCAGACCCTGCAGATGTCTAGGCAACTAGAAATGTTTAGACAACAGACTAATACTGGAGTCATCAGATCTGAGAACCATCTATATAAACATGACATAAATGGTAAAGAATATGGCCAATGGTTAGCATCTTGGGGGACACCTTTGGGGAGCAGACAGAAGGAACAGTGTTAACAGGAGCATCAGGATTATCTAATGTTCTAAATGGCAAGGATGACAGAGTTTCAGGAGGTAGGATGGTCACGAGTTTTAAATGTTTCAATAAACAATACTATATTTAGGGTGTTATAAAATCAAGTGTAGCAATACAACAGTAGGAGAGAAACAAACTGGTAAGGATCAACACCAAATTCAGAACAATGCTTGAGGAACAGGAGAAAAGAACTAGATGGGGGCTTAGCAGTGGCTGGCATAATATAATTTGAATGGTAACACAGAACCCTTCAGATGGGTCTGTATATTATAGTTCTTAACTTTGGGAAAATGGGTGTTCAATTTAGCATTCCCAATACGTAGTAGGTGGCTGAAATATTTTATAACTATATTTTGTGTTGTAAGAGTTTTCCAATAGGTGAGAGAGAGAATGGAAGGCATATAGAATCCATGTTYCACAGAGTTAAGAAATAAATAGGCAATTTATAAAGTAAACATGAAATAATTCTTTGGGAAAAAAATTTGCAAGTGAAGTAAGAGAAAGGTAGTCTGAAACATTAGCAGGGCCTTGGAGAAGTTGTAATAATGAGTTGTCAGTTTTTTTTTTTTTCTCACTACAAGAAGAAAAAAAAACTATATGATAGGCAAAGGGGTCAAATCCAGGGGAGAAAAGGATATTAAAGATCTAAGCCAGAGGGGAAATGATACAAAAGGGTCCTAGGAGAGAATGTGGTCAAGAACACAAATGAAACCAGTGTGGCTGTGCAAGCTGGTGATCCCAGCAGGTTGGGCGGCTAGGGCAGAAGAACTGTAAACTCAAGGGTATCCTGGGCACAGTGAGATCCCTTCTCAAAAAATAAATATAGAAAATTTTAAGGTAGAGGTTTAAAAAAAAAAAAAGAACACAAGTGAAAACATGTCCCTTTAGGAAGAAAAATATATATTTTTTTTCCCTCAGAAATCAAAGGTAAGAGAAGAAAAAAATAATAAAAAAAATATATACATATACCTATATATATATTAAAAAGCTCTCATCTTATGAAGTCACTTTAACCATATATTTTCCCTACTAAATTGTACACTTGTTAAAAGGGACAGAATTTATCCATCTTTGGTCATCCAGGGCTAAACCGACACTTAAGATGTACTCAATAAATGATAACTATACAAAAGAAATAATCACCCCAGAAAAAGAAAAGATGAAGTTACCCATTAAAAGAGGCACGACAGGAAGAAATCAAGGACTACTAAGAAAAGAGAAAAGATGCCAGGTTCAGTAGCACATGCCTGTAATCCCAGCAGCTGGGGAWKCTGAGACGGGAGGATWGCGAGTTCAAAGCCAGCCTCAGCAAAAGTGAGGCACTAAGGAACTCAGTGAGACTCTGTGTCTAAATAAAATACAAAATAGGGATGGGGATGTGGCTCAGTGGTTGAGTAACTCTGAATTCAATCTCTGTCCCCCCCCTCCTCTCCCCCGCCCACCCCMAAAAAAAAGAATGGAGAAAAGGTTTGGAGAGGATAAAATGAAATTCAGAATCAATGAGAAATGTTAAATAAAAGAAATGATAGAAAGCAGAAAGGATTCAGCCTTGGTTTCCAAACAAGCGTGTCAAGTCACAAGCAAGAGCCTGTGTCTGAGACAGTATGATTCAGACTTCCCAGTTTGGGCACTGGCAAGGAGTTCTTACATGCAAAGAGAAAAACGCATTGCTCCAAAACATACATCCTAATGGGCAACAGCACATCGTAAACCATTACGATGGGTATTACACAGCGCACCCATGGCAAGTAGTTCTCATAAAGAAAATTAAGACACGGCATTGATTTTGGATGAAATTATTTCATCTTTATTTAGGCATACCCAAATTCTAAGTGTTTACTATGCAGTTTTTTCAATGTCTGTGAACTTATTATTGGCTAGGGAAATTCCCCAAAGCAAACGAAGATCAAGATACTTTATGCTATGTTACATATATGATTTCAATGAAGGACCAGGAGATGTGGAAGAATATCAACTCACTAACAAGATAAAGCTGAGAAGAGTTGAGTTGCTCTCCTTAYTGATTCCAACCCCCAAGACTGTAACTATGGTCCAGAGTCACACCAACTCTCAAAGGCTGCATTAATAGAACTCAGCACTTTTAGTCCAGAACACCTCTAGAGAATAGGGAAATGATGGGGGTCCATCACCTGGCCAACATCAGMAGCCCCCATAGAGTCACCGCAGGGGATGTAGGACAAAGACATTCATCTGCTGCACTGGCGGCCACTATAGTGTGCCTTCCTAACAGAGTCCCTTCTGTGAGGACCACTGTCTAAGTGACCTGACACAAAGCTTTATAAAGCAGCATTAATACTGCGGGCCAAAATGAGATTGATCTTTGGGCTTCGTGGTCTCCTGTTGTCAACAGTGCATTATAAAACCAATACTAAATACTTTATAAACAGGTCTCCCTACAGTGTATTAGAAAAACGGTGCATATTTCATGCCCCATAGTTAGGTAGCCACATATCCATCAGACTAATAAATTATTTATTGGGTACTCAGAAGTGCAATAAGAGTCAATAAACTAACTTCTGGATACTTATAAGCTACTATTTCACTGGAAATTATACCTGAATGATAAAACTATCTCACAAACTGGATGGGGGATGGGAAATCCCAGCTCTCTCAAGTACAGTGTTACAAGGAAGCACAGGGCTCATGAATGAGAAGRGAGAAAAATCTCTATCCCCTGTAAAGAGTCTTGGTTATTAAACTTACAGAGAAAGCACCACCCAACCCCATGCTCGCTTTCCTTTCTCCCGTGTATAGATTTCTTTGGTTCTACTATCCTTGGAGACAGATCAAGGATATAAAAACTGGTGGAAACATTTCTAACACACCCTGACTCAAGCCAGATGACAACTACTACTAATGGTTTGCACTTGACATCTCCAGAGAAACTACACAATGGCTTGA